ATGTTCCCCTTCCTGAGTCCAATTGATCTCATTGTTTTGGTTTTTCATAAAGTGTTCCCTTCTCTTCTATTTTCTTGAAAAGATTGTGTAAAATGGTGTTAGTTCTTCTTTAAACACTTGTTAGTAGTCTCTGATGAAAATTTCTAAGTCTAGAGATTTACTTCGGACTTTTTAAATGAATTTGAATTCCTGAATAATTACAGGGATACTCAAATTGTCTATTTAATTTGCGTGAGTTATGGTAGTTTGTGTTTTTCAAGGAATCGATCCATTTAATCTAAATTGTCAAATCATACAGGGTTGCTCATAATATTCCCTTATTACCTATTTGATACCTGCAGGGTCTTTAGTGATATCCCCTGTTTCATTCCTTATGTTGGTAATTTGCATATTATCTGTTTTTTTCTTCATCACAGTTGCTAGAAATTTGTCAATTTTGTTGATCTTTTCAAAGAACTTTCTTTTTGTTCAATTGGTTTTCCCTATTTTTATTTTTAATTTCATTGATTTCTGCTCTTCATTATTTATTCTATTTTGTTTGTTTTGGATTTATTTTGCTCTTCATTTTCTAGATCCTTGAGGTGATAGTTTAGATTACTGATTTCAGACTTTTTCTCTTTTCTAATGAAAGCATTTAGTGCTATAAATTTCCCTCTCAACACTAATATTTTATGTCCCACAAATTTTTATACATTGTACATTAATTTTCATGCAGTTCAATTGTTTTACTTCAATATAATCTTTGACCCATGGATTATTTAGAAGTGTGTTATTTAGTTTCCAAGTGTTTAGAGATTTTGCTGTTGTCTTTCTTTTGGTGATTTCTGGTTTAATTTTATTGTGGTCAGAGAACACATACTATAGAAGTTCTATTCTTTTAAATTTGTAAGTTCGTTTTATGGCCTAGCATATGGTCTATCTTGGTATATGTTTCAGATGCATTTAAAAAAATGTGTGTACTCCTGTGGTTGGGTGGAGCTTTCTGTAAATATCAATTAGATTCTGTTGGCCAATGATACTGTTGAGTTCTTCTATGTCCTTGCTAATTTTTTGTCTAGTTGTTCTATCAATGTTAATAGAGAAATATTGAAATCTTCAACTATAACTATGAATTTGTCTATTTCTCTTTTCAGTTCTATCAGTTTTCACTTCACATATTTTGCAGTTCTGTTGCTTGGTGTCTACACCTTCAGGATTACTATCTTTTCTTGGTAGATTGACCTTTTGTTATTATGTAATGTTCCTTCTCTGTAATTTTCTTTGCTCTGAAATCTACTTTATATGCTCTTAATATAGCCAGTCCTGATTTATGTTAGTTAACATTTGCATGACATTATCTTTTTCCATCTTTTTAATTTGGGTGAGTTATGGTAGTTTGTGTTTTTCAAGGAATCGATCCATTTAATCTAAATTGTCAAATCATGCAAAGCATGTCAAATCATGCTTTCAACCTTTCTATATTATATGTGAGGTGTATTTCTTATAGACAGCATATAGTTGGGTTGTTTCTTAATATACTCTGCCAATCTCTGTCTTTTAGTTGGTATATTTAAATGATTTACATTTAATGCAATTATTGATATGTTATGGTTTAAGTCTGCCATTTTATTTTCATTTCAGTTTTTCATTTCTCTTTCTTTTTCCCATTTTCCTGTGGGTTACTTGAACATTTTTTAGAATTCCATTTAGATGTATCTATATATATATTATCTCTGTGTGTGTGTGTGTGTGTGTGTATAGTTAAATGTATCTTTTTGTATAGTTTTTTTAGTGGTTGATTAGGTTTTACATTATATATTCATAATATATACCTCTACTGACACCAGGGGGTTCAGAGATGTGGTCTTATCACCACTGAGGGTGATGAAAGTCCTGACTGTCTTCTAGGT